AGCAAGGAACTCCTGGCCAAACTCCAACAGAAGAAGGAAGTACACAGAATGCGGCAAAGGGCACAGGCCACTTGGGAGGAATACAGGGACGTTGTCAGAGTGTGCAGGGATGCGACCAGGAAGGCTCAGGCCCAGTTGGAATTAAATCTGGCAAGGGATGTCCAGGACAACAAGAAGGGGTTCTTCAAATACATCAATAGCAAAGGAGACATCAATGGCAAGGAGGAGCCAGGAAACTACAGGCCTGTCAGCCTCCCCTCCATCCCTGGAGAGGTGATGGAACAGCTCCTCCTGGAGGTCCTCACTAAGCATGTGGAGGACAAGAAGGTGATCAGGAGTAGTGTTGTCTCCCTGGACTTCAGCAAGGCTTTGGACACTGTCTCCCATCACATCCTCCCAGGTAAGCTCAGGAAATGTGGGCTAGATGAGTGGACAGTGAGGTGGATTGAGAACTGGCTGGATGGCCGAGCTCAGAGGGATGTCCTGGGTGCTCAATGCAGGCTGCCAGGCAGGAGCCCTCTGGCTGGAGTAGTCCCTGAAGTACTGCTCATCCCCGGCACGAGGCCTTTGGGGCAGTGGGCATTGGGCTTTGTCCCGGTCCATAGCAGAGGAGCACTGACACCAGTTAAAGGGCGTTTCGGGAAAACTGATCATTCTCCTCGGGACTTACCAAATAAAAAGAAATGGGTTCGTTTAGGCGGTATAGGATTATGATACTTGGATGAATGGATTTGCAAAGGATATAACTTTACTAACACTGGGCTGGGGGTGATGTAAGCCCACTTGTGGCCGGCACAGCAGCCTCCTCGTCCCAGGCTCCACCTCTTCAGCAGAGTAGGGGCTGTGCAGGGCTAGGACTGCCCCAAGGCAGCCCCCAAGGCCTCAGCAAGGGACCTCACCATCCCTCTGGGATGAGAGAACCTCACATCTCACAGATGGGATCCAGCCCTGTTACACACTGTGTAATGAGCCATCTGCATTTCAGAGGACAGGTCCACCCGTGCTGTGAGCTTCAGCCGTGGCAGGCTGCAGACACGGGGGTTGGTTCAGGATATCCTACACTGAGGTGACTCCAGTTATTCCTCCTTCACCCTTACTAATATTAGAAAGAGGTGAGAAAACACCATACCATAGTGTTGTGGAAACACTAGGTTTCCAAGGAGCAGAGTCTCACATATGTCTAGCAGCGAACTTAATTATTTATTTAAATGACAGTACAACAAAGTAACAGCTTGAGGTGGGTGCCTCCAGGGAGGGACCTCAAACAAAGAAATTCTGGGGTAATTATACCCTTTACAGTTTTATTTCCCCACCTGCCAGTGAAGGTCTCTTCCAATCTTTTTTACTGAGTCAGTGGTCTCTCTCCTTCTGATTGGTATCTCTCTCCTTCTGACAGGTCCTGACCTACATTCCAGGCTGGTTGCCATGTTCTTGTTTCCCACAGTCCCTTATCTTCTCGAAGGTCAACCACAACCCAGGTGCATCCCATCGTGTCTCCTGCATTCTACTTTGTATCCTCATTAGCTAGTTTGGTATCTTTATTAGCTGGTTTTAATCAGTTTTGCAGTTACATTGTCAGCAATGTTACATCCACAGCAATGTTTCTTGAGTTCATTGACAGTTCTGCCTTGAGGCCTGCAGGCTTCATCCACTTCAGGCACTTATGCTAATCAGAGTCAGACTTACGCTAAGCTGAAGCTAAGTCAGCTACAATTTTCTTCTCTAATAGTGCTGAAGCTAAATCAGTTACAATTTCCTTCTCTAACACACAGGGAGGGAAGACTGCAGAGTCGGACACCATGATGGCCTCTTGCACAGAACTGTCACAGGGCAGTCTGCAGGGGCCTACTGGGATGAGCCAAGAGCCTTGCATGGGGAATTGGTCACAGGAACACAGACCCTGCTCACAGCCATGTCAGTAACAGACAACATTGATCCTACATCAGTGCCAGAGATAGGCAAACTGGCCTTACTTCAGGGGTTTCAGTGACAGGATAGGGCTGTATATGAGTATCAGTGTCTGGCACATGTTTTCTGGTCACAGGGGTATTGGAGGTCCTTCATGCATGTCATGGAAAGATACACACGATCCCTACATGAGAGTCAGGGACATGCATGAGGGTCTTGCTTGCAGGGTGCTTAGGGTCAGGCACAAAAACCATGCACGCGTGTCGGTGACATGCACATGGACCCTGCTCACAGGGAGATCAGTTACAGGCACAGTCTCTTCATGGATGTCAGTGACAAGCACATTGACCCTACATGGGCATCACTGACAGGCACACAGGCCCTGCTCACAGGGGTGTCAGCTAGAGATAGAGACAGCCACTATATGCATGGCAGGCATGCTGAAGTTGACAGGCACACACAACCAGCTCGCAGCAGTGCTGGTGAAAGGCAACAATGGACCCTGCATGGGTAGCAGTGACAGGCACCTCGACCCTGCTCACAGGGGTGTTGGTGACATATACATGGACCCTACATGAGTAACAGTGACTGGAACACTGGCCCTGCTCACAGGGTTTTCAGTGGCCAGCACACAGGCCCTGCATGGGTGTTAGTAACCTGCACACCTACCCTGGTCACAGGGCTACTGGCAAAATGCACACAGGCCCTACACAGTTTTGGGGGACAGGCATAGAGGTCCTACACAGTTTCGAGGACAGGCATGCCAGCCCTGGTCACCGGGGTTCCAGTGCCAACTACAAGGGCCCTGCATGTGAAAGACACACAGGTGCTGCTCACATTGTTGTCAATGAGAAGCACGCAGAGCGTACATGGGTAATGGTGACAGGCACACAGACTCTGCTAACAGGGTGTCAGTGACAAGCACAGGGACCCTACATGACTGTCAATGACAGGCATAGAGGGTCTACATTGTTGTCAGGAACAAAGGGCCCTTTATGGGTGTCACTGATATGCACAGAGGCCCTCATAGAATCACAGAATTGTTGAGGTTGGAAAGGACCTCTGGAGATCATCTAGTCCAACTCCCCTGCTCAGCCAGGGTCCTCTATAGCACATTGCACAGGATCACGTCCAAACAACTTCTGACTATCTCCAAGGAAGGAGACTCCAACAATTCTCTGGGCAACTGTTCCAGGGCTATGTCACCCTCACAGGGAAGAAGTTTGTCCTCAAGTTCAGATGGAACTTCCTGTGGTTCAGTTTCTGCCCATTGCCTCTTGTCCTATCACTGGGCACCATGGAGAAGAGACTGGCCCCATCCTCTCCACACCCTCCCTTCAGATACTTGTA